TTTAAAAAAATATGAAAATTTGGATGACTCTCCAAATTTCATTTGTGTCACATAAATTGAGACAACAAAAATAACATATATTGGGTCCATTTTAATTTATTTGTCTTATTTTTTAATTTTTTTTATATTTAAAAATTGCGTAAAAATACTATAAATCATGATAATTGACAACATAAAATATTTCAAAAATGTTGCATGTGGGTAGTCTCATTATGCCTTAAATAGCGTTAAAGAAAGTACAAATTGCGTAAAAATACTATAAATCATGATAATTGACAACATAAACTATTTCAAAAATGTTGCATGTGGGTAGTCTTATTATGCCTTAAATAGCGTCAAAGAAAGTACAAGTTTGTGATAAAAAAACTTATTCTTTTATCCACGCAAACAATAGCTTCAAAAACTCGATTATTAGCCCCAAAATATACCATTTATATTATTGGGCCTGTGCTATGCACGAGCAACATTATCTAGTATATATATACAATCTACATGTCTAGATCTTCGTATACATCCATTCATATCACTAAATTATAATTAAATTATAGTATATATTTTTTAATTTAAATATCGATTAATTTATCCGTTATCAATCTATATAAGAAAAAAAATTGTAGATATTTTTGATTGATGTACGTAAGCTGCGGCGTGTGGTCCTTGGTCAACTGGTAGAATTAATCGTGAGTGATGATATAATTATTGTGCATTGTGGAGCGTGCCTAATTTTAAACTTTAATTATTACTACTCATGCAGTCCTGCCATACATAGTCAATTAAAAATTATTTTGATTTTATTTTTTACTCGGTATTCGATATTTGTATTGATGTTTGATCATTTCAGATTTATGTTGCATAGGATTTCACTCGAGGGGCGAAAAAACGTTCTCTATCAAAAAAATTTCTATATATCCAAAACTCTGATTAAGAGAAGAGAAACTTCATCCACTTCACAAATTAAAATTTATATAATATGTATACTTTCCTTTTCACCACCCATATTGTTCATTCTTCACCATTCATCTCTTTTGCTCCATCACTCTGTCTTCAATTCACCATTTCCTATCTACTCGTCTTTCCGTGTATGTTATGAATTGTGATGGCATCCATATATAGTATTGTTCCGTCTTGAATTAAAAATTTTGTATTCAAACTTTAAATATATATATAATAATATATATAAATACCAATAAAGTGTTTTTTTTAAGTGGATACTATACATATGAATTTGTATTAATGAAACGCCATGGGAATAGCGTATATGAAAAACAAAACAAAAATTTTTTAAAAAAATCTTGTAAGATATATCCTAATTATATAGCTTAAATGATCATGTGTATATTTGGTTCAACATATATATGAAATTTATCTTTATAGTAATTAAAGTAGGTTCCTTGGCTTTAGTCAGGGTCTACTTTAATCAATTAATTGAATTTTTTTAATCAAATTAAAATTATTTAACTTTCGAAAAACAAAACGTATCATATTGTCGAAGGAGACGAAAAATTTGGAATTGACGTACACCAAATGTCGGGTTGTGGAAAAGGTCAACTCCGTGCTTCATTCTTCGTTGACCACACGTCTATTTACTTTCTATATAAGTTCTTATTACACATCCACAAGTTTTTTTTTATTATTTCTTATTCAATATCTAATATTTATATTAAAATTTGATTTTTTAT